CAGCATTTTGTACATAAACAACATACTGTTAAACATAAGTGCACAGCCATGCTGGCAATCATGTGACGCAGTAGTATGTACACATTCATTAGCATTGAATACACGCCACATTTGGTATTTGGTATTTGGTCATAAACTAAATTACTGGAGAAAGTGAAAGTAAGAGAAATGTTACTTGCCACAGACAGAGTTATGTGCTGTAACCACTTCAGTGACCAGGTACTAGGATTCATCCTCTGGGGACTAAGCCTGACTGTACAAAAATTTGTACATTTCATCAATAATCATTTTAGAAGGTAATTAAAAAATCTGACCTACTGATGACACTGGAGGAAAAGGTCATCACCAAATTTGTTATAGGTTCATCCTCCATGGGCCATGACTATTTGTACAAAATGTTTTCCCCAGTCGGTCCAAAAGCTGTTAAGACTGAAGCGATAAAGAAACAAAAACATCACCATGCCAATGACGTGGTTAAAATACTTATAAAGGGTGTAAACTAAGTTGTCATATATTGGTTATGTTTGATCAAGGCACCCTAAAGTATCAGGTTTCCATTCAACAGCTAAAATAACCAAGGGGCATTAAAACCTTCTCGTTGTATCCAAACTGCAGCGCTGGTTTGGGCAGAACAAGTTGGTGACGCAAATAATGGAAATCCTCCGTAGACAAGATCGACCTTCACGGTCTACGTGGCCCACCCACGAAGGGCTCCTCCCTCGTGGACCGTGTCCTCTGAAGGTGGCGGCCCCTCAATTGGGACACAGCATATGTCAGCCCTGTGATACACTGGCCACTTGTCCAGGGAGTACCCTGACTCCCTATCTCATCCAATGTCCTGGATGTAGACTAGACCCAATCTGTTCGCTGCGAAGTACATAAGTACTAGTGTCTTGAAGCGGATATGGGTAGCCACTGGTTACCAGTGAAGGGAGCGGAGGAGCGGTGTAGTGTGAGAACTTAGGTAGGTTGGCACAAACACACACAGAGCAGTCATGTGTCTTGCCTCTGAGGGGTGGTTGTCAAAGTGATATATATAGTGGTCTGATCAACCTCAGCATCAGTACATTGATGACCCTGAAGAAAAATCAGCCACAACGTTGTCTCACTTGTTTGTGTATTATGTGTGCGTTCAGCTTTGAAAATCACTGTCCTGTGTGTTCTTGAATACGAGTTGTTGTAGGTTAGTCCTGATCAATTAGCTGCCATCTGCTCCAAAACATAAAAGTCCCGCTGCGCCACAGTAAACTCTTCAGGAAAGTGTGTGAATAACCTGGCAGCAGCTGATATTTCATCAGTAATGTCTGTCGGCTGTGTGAGGGATGAGATAAACTGCACATTTAAAGTTTAATTCCCTGTTTATTTTTTTTCATGTGATATTATTCTGGTGTGGCAATGAAAGCTGCAGCTACCGCCAGACAAACATTTGCTGAATCTCACGAGGACAACAGACACATTTCACTTCAATCGTTTCCACGTAACAAGAATTCCACATCTATGTTTCGTCCAAAGTGCAAAGTGCCTGTCACGGCTGCTCCTGTGACTGTCGTTCATTAGCATTAAGCATGCTGGGAGCTAAAAGATGAGTGAAATTCAATTTGTAAGGCTCTTACCAGAAAATGGAGCCATTCATTCGAGTTTTACATGGATCTAAATCTGCCTGCGGGTTAAAACATTAACTGGATATCTGGATATAATGGAAGTACAGCACCTGAGCATTAGTAATAATGATAATAAAAAACCTATTAATGTTGCACTTTTCATAGATGCAGCTCATTGTGCTTTACATAAAAAAGCGCAACAGTAGCTTAAAAACAAACATATCA